CTTAAACCGGTCAAGAGACTTGTAACGGCATAAAACACAACAAGCCCCATTGCAAGTCAGTTTGTCTCAGAGAGGAGAACAAACTATTAGGTGCAACACGAACACCCAGCACTAAGCCTGCATGTGGCTGCAGTATGAATATTCGCCTGCTATAGAATCTCTTCTCTGCAGAGCTGCTGCTGCTGCTGTCAGTAGATGTCTTGAGTGTTGAGCCTGGAGCAGCAGACAGAAACCATCAGCTCTTTTAATACTGACTGATTCTATACGACTACAACCATTGTCTGACTGACCCTCTCCTTCCTCATGTTCTAGGCTGCTCTGCGTCAGATCACAGATAAGGCTCGTGAGTTTGGAGCGGGCCCCCTGTTCAACCAGATCCTGCCACTGCTCATGTCGCCCACCCTAGAGGACCAGGAGCGCCACCTACTGGTTAAAGTGATTGACCGCATTCTCTACAAACTGGATGACCTGGTTCGGCCATATGTACACAAGGTAGGCTCAGTGTTAGAGAGGTGAACTTGAATTAGTGGATTGTGTCTTAGGAGCTAACCGACTGTTCCTTTTGTGTCCAGATTCTGGTGGTTATTGAGCCTCTACTGATTGATGAGGACTACTATGCCAGAGTAGAAGGCAGAGAAATCATCTCTAACTTGGCAAAGGTAACATGAAGCATATTGATGCCTTTTATGATCCCAAAGTTGCACACACGCTGGTTCCTGCGAACTGTTCTCTCCTGTTTGGCCAGTTCGTGGTCAGATCAGAGCTAGTCGTTCGCTAGATGAATACCAACACGAGAGCTGGCAGACCTGACAGTGCTTCCTGGTCTGTTCTCACCCTGCACCCGTTGGTTACAGTGAGATGTTTACTGAACAGATTTTAATATTTTGACTGATATTTATCATTGCCCTTGTTCAAAATTTCATTTACATTTTTACATTTCATTTCAATCAGTGTATATATAGTATATGTAGACATACTGACAAGAAAACTTGTTTTCTGACCCACCCATCTGCTCCAGACTCTTCTTAATGTGGACTTGACCATGAATTAGAAACATTTTTCTCCTTGTTACACATCTTTTTTGCTGGTAATTGACCCAGTGCAGGACTCTGCCATATACTGTCAGCTTACTTCCTAACAGTCTTGTTTTCAGCCACAACAGGAAGCAGCTGTTTACAGAGAACAAACTCTTAAAAACACCTCACTGTCCACCTGCTCAGCAGCAAACAGACACAGTCGGAGACTAACTGGTGAACATGATAGAAAATTTAGCAGCTAAATAGCCAGAGATTTCCATCAGGAGGTGGTGGAGATCAGACTATAGAGCTAACAGAGAGGGAACACTGGACTGAGATTCATCAGGTGGACACAGACATTGCTCAAATAATGTGGCTCTGATACATACCACCTGTTTGCTAACAAGGTCACTGTACCAACCAAAAAGGGGATGATTATTCAATGTTCACCCAGAACACAATCACTTATTCCAAATTTAAGTTATATGACTAGAGACATGCACAAATGTATTTTTAGTTAGCAAGCTATTACCACACTCATTTGACCTGTGTGTTCCTCCTGTCTGTTCTCAGGCTGCTGGTCTGGCTACAATGATCTCCACAATGCGACCTGACATTGACAACATGGACGAGTACGTCAGAAACACCACAGCCCGAGCCTTTGCCGTGGTGGCCTCGGCCTTGGGTATTCCCTCTCTCCTGCCATTCCTCAAAGCCGTCTGTAAAAGCAAGAAGTCCTGGCAGGCGCGCCACACAGGCATCAAGATCGTGCAGCAGATCGCCATCCTCATGGGCTGCGCCATCCTGCCTCACCTCCGCAGCCTGGTGGAGATTATCGAACATGGTCAGTCGGGTCTTTGTACTGTCAGTCGTTATCAGCAATGACCTTTAAAATACTGAATGCAATTAAGAATTACAGCCTTACCTGCAGAGGCATGGTTTCACTTCATTTTTTTTGTTTGTTTGTGTTTTTTGGGCGGACCACATCTCAGTTTAGCTGCTCCCCAGTTTCTCCGTAGCCCAATGGTCTACTTTTGCATTTGGTTGTTGTCTGCTGTGACACCTTTGCATAATCTGTGATTTTCAGACAATGCTCTGGTACTCCTGACTACTAAAGCCAGCCTCTTATGCTGTTCTAGTTACTGTGACAATGTCTACAAGTAAATGCTCTTCCTGTAGGAGCTCAATACACTGATTACACATGATCTATCGCAGATCACCTTTTATAGATTAGATGCTTTGTTCATGCACATACTATTATTTTACAGCCTAGCAATGCAAGTGTATATTGTTCTAAGTCCCTGTAGCTATAACGTTACAAATGACTCATTTGCCATGGTTAATTTGTCAGTCTAATCCTAATGCTAGAATGATTTTTAAAAGAAAATGTGCTTGAAGCTGAGGGTGAACAGAGCTCAACATTGTTCAACAAATTCTGCCCAGTGTCTGGAATTCAGTGTATTTTCACTGTGATGGTTTTGACTGTGTGATGCCACAGGTCTGGTGGATGAGCAGCAGAAGGTGAGGACCATCAGTGCCCTGGCTATAGCTGCTCTTGCTGAAGCTGCTACACCCTACGGTATCGAGTCCTTTGACTCTGTGCTCAAGCCACTCTGGAAGGGTATCAGACAGCACAGAGGAAAGGTAAGACATCAGTTCAGAACACGTTACTTTGTCGAGTTTTTGGACAGCAGGACAAACATTCAGTGCAAGATCAACACCCAGCACTTAGCCTGCCTGTGGCTACAGTGTGAATATTTGCTTGCTATAGTGTCTCCTTGGAGGGGCTGCTGCTGTCAGTAGAGGTCAGAGGAAAGACCCTTAATTCTCTGCTGGGAGCATCAGACATATTCATTTATTATTGAAGCCTACAAGCAAAAATCTGTTAGCTGAGTTCAAATTTCCATTCACTTTCTACTCTGTTTATCACCAGGGTCTGGCTGCTTTCCTCAAAGCTATCGGTTACCTGATCCCCCTGATGGATGCCGAGTATGCAAACTACTACACCCGAGAGGTGATGCTGATCCTCATCAGAGAGTTCCAGTCCCCAGATGAGGAGATGAAGAAGATTGTACTCAAGGTCAGGAAGTGAAAGTATTACTTATAATGGTACTCTTTGAATGCTCTGTGTTAGCCTCCTGCGACTCATTCTCGCCTGTTCAACCGCTGCATGGTTGCGTCAGGGCTAGTAGTTCGCTACATGAACACCAGCATGAGAGTTGGCAGAGCTGATACCTGTGTCCTCTCTGTTCTCAGCCTGCACCCGTTGGTTACATGTACAAGAAGCTTGACAGACACTGGGTGACTGGGTGTCTGGCTTAAGGGTTAAGTTTAGGCCTTAAGCCCTGGGCGGTTAAGGTTAGGGCCGGGATAATGGATTTGTGGTTTTTTTAGGGGTTGGGGTTAGGGCCATAGAAATGGAGCTAAGAGGACCAAAGACCCACGTATTGTTGATGTCATCAGTCACAAGTTTCCTTCTCTGACCTGCACTTTTCTCTCATAGGTGGTGAAGCAGTGTTGTGGCACTGATGGTGTGGAAGCTAACTACATTAAGACTGAGATCCTGCCCCCCTTCTTCAAGCACTTCTGGCAGCACAGGATGGCTCTGGACAGGCGCAACTACAGACAGGTTAGCATACAGTTCAGCTCAAAAAGGCAGTGTAGTGACTACGTAACTGGACATTGAGATGTTACTTTCTCCAAGGTTCCTAAAAATATGTCTTATCAACTTGCTGAAAGAGCATTGCCAGGACACATTTGATCACCAGATCAACATCAGGACCATGTTTAATGTTGTTTACTGATCAAAACTCAACATATTCAACCCTAATTCACTTAATCACAAAGAACAAAATGGAAGCAATATTCTTTAGCACTGTTTTATCAAAGAGTGAGGTCTGGGACAGTTGAAGTTTGGCCACCCCTGAGCGGATTGTATGGTTAATTTTGAAGTGATAAGAAGTAAATACATCCTGTACAGCAAGCAGGCATTAAAACCTGACCCTTTCTTTAAATGTAGGCAGTCACTTTTATTTCATTAGCTTAAACAACAGAAAAAGATTAAATGGGAACTTAAGAGAATTATGGAAGTTAAGACAAGATCCACAAACACTTCCTCCTGTAGACTGCGTAGAAACACTTCAAAAAAGTAAAATGAACTATTTGTAACCTTCTGTAACAATGGTAAAACCTAAGAAATGGACATGAATATCATTTATTTTTAGTTGTTTTGATATCTTTTCTTTGGTCATCTGCTAAAAGCATTTCTGAGAAAAAAATGCAAATATTTGATATGAAGCGTTGGTCCCTGAACACAGTATGAAAATGAAGCATTTGACTGAGAAGTCACTCAGGAGCTTATCAGCAAACTTCCCTACCTGCCACAAGGCATAAAAATCCCACCTGAATGGAGTGTGTGTTTTGTAAAGAGTGAAATAGTGAGATGTAAAACGGCAGAAGGACACAGACGCAAAACATTTCTTAACTTTCTCCCTGAACAGTTGGTGGACACCACAGTGGAGTTGGCCAACAAGGTGGGAGCAGCAGAGATCATTTCTCGCATTGTTGATGACCTGAAAGACGAGGCAGAGCAGTACAGAAAGATGGTGATGGAGACCATCGAGAAGATTATGGGCAACCTGGGCGCAGCGGACATCGACCACAAGCTGGAGGAGCAGCTGATCGATGGCATCCTGTATGCCTTCCAGGAACAGACAACAGAGGTGGGAGAGTTTTCCCTGTCGGAAGAATCCTATCCTTTCAGAATCTTTTAGTTTTATTAATGTCATGCCTTGTGCTTTTTCTCCAGGACTCTGTGATGCTGAATGGTTTCGGCACAGTGGTGAACGCCCTTGGGAAGCGTGTGAAACCCTACCTGCCTCAGATCTGCGGTACAGTGTTGTGGCGTCTGAACAACAAGTCAGCCAAAGTCCGTCAGCAGGCTGCTGACCTGATTTCCCGGACTGCTGTGGTCATGAAGACCTGCCAGGAGGTACACTGAAGCCTCATGCGCACACACATGTTCAATGACCCAAACTCTCACTTCAAACACTAATGCATGTTTTCCTTGGCTGTTGCTGCAGGAGAAGCTGATGGGTCACTTGGGTGTGGTGCTGTATGAGTACCTGGGAGAGGAGTACCCTGAGGTGCTGGGGAGCATTCTGGGAGCACTGAAGGCCATTGTTAATGTCATTGGTATGTCACCTCAATACATCACCACCCCTGCTTTGCCTTGTTGGTTGAGTTTTTAGTTGGTATAGTGAGTTTAGAAAGGGAACCATGACTAGCTAAGAGATCATTTCCCTGCCTTTTGCAGGTATGCACAAGATGACCCCACCAATCAAAGACCTGCTTCCCCGTTTGACTCCCATTCTGAAGAACAGACATGAGAAGGTGCAGGAGAACTGTATCGACCTGGTGGGCAGGATTGCTGACAGGTTGGTAGTGGAAAGTATTAGACTGAAGCTGTGTACATCTCTTTTCCACTTGACAATGTCATCCCACCGTCTTGTGTTTGTTAGGGGTGCTGAATATGTGTCGGCCAGGGAGTGGATGAGGATTTGTTTCGAGCTGCTGGAGCTGCTCAAGGCTCACAAAAAGGCCATCCGCAGAGCCACTGTCAACACATTTGGTTATATTGCCAAAGCCATCGGGTGAGTGCTTCATGTCACATTGTATTTTCAGTATTTCCCCACGCTGTGGGAATGCTGTTGTTTTACGAGTCAGCTTCCTTTCTGAACACCAACAGACCTGCAGCAAACACTGCTACAACGTCTCATGCTGGCTAATTGTTAAATGAACACTAAAGAATTCATTATGTTCAACTGGTTAATGCATCTATCCATTTTGTGCCACTTACCCTGGGCCAGGTTGTATTAATGAAATTAATTGTATCCTTAGGAGTTGTTACATACTGCTGGTTTGGCTTTTCAAACGGTGTTTAGTGTAACTCGCCACTCCAGCAGAAACTGTTGCACATTACATCACTCTAAACAAGCTCAACCCATTGTCTTTTCTCTACAAAGTTCATGCTCAACTGTCCTCTCTCCCCAGCCCCCATGATGTGTTGGCCACTCTGCTCAACAACCTGAAGGTGCAGGAGCGTCAGAACAGAGTCTGCACGACCGTGGCCATCGCCATCGTCGCCGAGACCTGTTCACCGTTCACAGTGCTGCCGGCGCTCATGAATGAGTACCGTGTGCCTGAGCTCAACGTGCAGAACGGCGTGCTCAAGTCCCTGTCCTTCCTGTTCGAGTACATCGGAGAGATGGGCAAGGACTACATCTACGCTGTGACGCCACTGCTGGAGGACGCACTCATGGACAGGTGTGTTGGAGGACAAGGTTGTCTGTTGGAGACTCATTTTGACTGTTCACATCAAATTCTTATTGCTTCCTTCTTGCATCTAATACAGTTTATTTTAATAATCATTGTATCACTGTCACAGGGACATTGTAAAAGTTTGTTTTCAGTGATTTTTGCACTTTTGATGATTTAGGAGTTTAACCCTGTGAGGCTGTATCAACCCCACAGCCACTCATTTGCCACTTTTAGTAATAATAACCTGTTAATATTTGTGTAGCAGATGCATGTATGGATTTGTTTACAACTGGATTCCAAGGGTTTAGTCAGCCCAGAGCAGCATAAAAGCAACATCCAGAGAAGTGTGAAATTATAATGTGAAGCCGTGGATCCACATGAAACCAGTTTGCTCTCAGTCCAGATGACTGTGTGACAACATATCTGGTCTGTTGAGAAACAGTCTCGGGTACAGGTTTTTGTACTTTAAATCTTTAACTTGTTTCATTTCTGCAAGAAATATCCAGAGTCAAACAGCCAACGTCGCCCATGTACTGTGCATGTGTACATAGTACACAGAGCTGTAACCATTTGGCTGTCAGGCTGCACTGAACTGTTTCAAATTTTAAATAAGACATCTGAGGCAGCAGTAACTGGGAAGGGTTAGGTCTGTATCACAGCAGTACCAGTTTCATGTCCGGTCTAGTTCTGCCAGTGACTGTTGACCCTGGACTTGTGTCGTCCTGCAGAGACCTGGTCCACAGACAGACAGCCAGTGCAGTAGTGCAGCACATGTCTCTGGGCGTCTATGGGTTCGGCTGTGAGGACTCCCTCAACCACTTACTCAACTACGTGTGGCCCAACGTGTTTGAGACGTCGCCCCATGTGATCCAGGCTGTGATGGGTGCCCTGGAGGGGCTGCGGGTGGCCATCGGGCCTTGCCGCATGCTGCAGTACTGCTTACAGGTAAGAGTGGCCAGGACCACTTTGAGAAACTCTGCATGGCTAGATCAGTGGGCTTGCTGATTTAAAATTAGGTTTTTGCTTCACTCATTTTGTACAGCATTTTTCAGACACCATTCCCACCTCGATCACACTTCATTAATGACCTTACCCAGAAGTGTGGTGCAGAAGTGTGTGTGTTGATCACACTTCATTAATGACCTTACCCCACCTGCACCACACAGAAGTGTGGTGCAGAAGTGTGTGTGTGTGTGTGTGATGCCTTGGATTTGTTGGTTTTCTCTTCCTAAGTAAAAAGGAAATTGGACAAAAGTCCCTGTGATCATTCTGCTGCTTGTACCTGCAGGGTTTGTTCCACCCGGCCAGGAAGGTGAGAGACGTCTACTGGAAGATCTACAACTCCATCTACATCGGCTCACAAGATGCCCTCATCGCACACTATCCACAGGTCTACAACGACGAGAAGAACGTCTTTGTCCGCTATGAGCTGGAGTATGTCTTGTAAATATGAATCTCTGTGCTCTTTGTTTTTGTCCTCCCTTGAGTCTGTGCAGGGCTGAGTCTGGTTTTGTTTAGCAGCTGTGTGTTGGCTTCTCCCAGGGCTCAACAGTCCACCTTCTGAATGCCAGCTGTTGATCCTGAACAGAAAACAAGCTTGAAATTAGAAAAATAAAGAAGGAGCTTTGTAGAGTCTGTACGTTTTTATTTTTTTATTTTCTGCCTTTTTCGGGTGTTCCCTGTAAGGAGTGGTTGAGGTCAGATGAGCCTTGGTAGAGGAATGCAGAGCAATGATCACATTTCAAATGTATTGATAGGTTTCTGTAGCGCCTGTGTACACCCTCCATGTTTCACACCTCCTCTGTTCTTATTCAATTATTACTTTATTTAACCCAATAAAATGTTTGTGTATAAAAATCCATTTCTTTGGATCAGTGAGTTTTTCCCCTCCATACCTGAACTGTGTCGAATATGGACATTTAATCAGATGAATGTTGCAGCCATGAGTCAGTTGTATACAAAAGCAGTAGAAATAAATATAAAGTTTGTATAGTTTTAAAAATGTCTGCATCAAAGCAGGAGAATACATAAAGCACTCTAAGGTGGTCGTCATGATTGTAAACTGGTAGATGTATTCAGAGTTGAGTGGGAGTAGTAGTAACACGGCTGTGTTTCAACTACAGGTACTTATGAAGGGGCATATAATGCAGTGTTAGGCTTCAGCAGAGGTGAAGCGGTTGGAGCATGGAGCCCTTGTTTATGCTCAACAGAGTCTGATGTAACGGAGGCAGCTGTCACTGGTTTTGGTTACATGCACAAATCCATGACCTCACAGTCCTTTTCTAAACTCTGTTTTCTTGTGCTTTAAAAGCACAGGGAAGCAGAGTTGTGCTCCCTCTATACCAATGACTGCACCTCAGGAGACCCCTCTGTAAAAATCCTGAAGTTTGCCAACGACACAACTAGTGATGTGTCATGCGCAAAAGATGCGGCTCTGAGAGCCTATGCTTTATAGTGAATCAGAAGAGCCGACTCGCATCGACTGAGACCCGACTCCCAGTTTTTTTCCTTTCGCTGCTCAGTGCTCAGCCTGAGCTCTGCTCAAGTCAGAACTTTGTTTTGATTGGTCAGCAATGGCATCGCGGCCAATCAGATGTGAGGATATAGGATCATACCATTATGTGAAAACAGAGAGGGGGGCGCTAAGAAGTGGAGCGCCCGGCGCTTCACTGCAAGTTAATTGTCTAACTAGACAGACAGAGTCTGTCTGTCAGACAGCGGTGAGGAGAGTGTGTGAGTGCTTCGTGTAGTTGCGTATTGAAACTATGAGTGACACTCGAAAGCGAAGCAGCATCTGGCTGCAGTTTAAAGATACTGGAAACAACAAAGCAGAGTGCCTTCACTGCAAAATGAAAATAACTTTAAGAGCAGGTTCCACCACAAACCTGCATAGACATATCAGAACTGTCCATCCTACAGTGCAGTTAGAGGAGAGAGGGCAAGCTAGCACACCGTCTACTGATCCTGGTGTGTCTCATCCTAAAACAACAGCAACTGCAGCAGCATCTGGATTCCCCACACATGCAAGTATAACCTCTCCTACTGCAACTCAAAGCAAAATAAGTCAGTTTATGCCAAAACAGATGACCCCAGCCAAACAGCACAGTATTGATGATGAGTTGGCTAAAATGATAGCTACTGATTTCCAACCCTTTTCCATTGTGGAGGACAGAGGTTTTAAAAGTTTTGTCAAAACTTTAAATCCCACATACACTCAACCCAGTAGAAAAACATTGTCCCAAACAACAATAACTAAATTATATGACACAGAACGTGCATTATGGCAAGAAA